TGCTCATGAAATTTGGAAATGAGATATACTTAGGAATCACCGTAAGTACAGAAATGTGCTACTTTTGGCTGGGATAATTTTTTTCACAGTAACTAGAATGGGGCTGTGGTTTAGATTTGTGCTAAGAAGAGTGTTGATAGTGCAGGGAATTTTTAGGTGTTGCTGAGCAGGGCTTGCATGGAGCTGAGACCTTTTCTGTTCCTCACCCCAGTCTGTCAGTGAGTTCATGGGAAACTGGGAAGGGACACGGTCTGGACAGCTGGCCCCAACTGACCAAACCATCTCCCATACTATGTGGCATCATGATCAGTAAAAAAAGTCAGGGAAAGAAGAAGGAAAGAAGAACAGTTCAGTCATGGTGTTTGTCTTCCCAAGCCACTGTTACGTGTGACAGGCCCCTGCTTTTCTGGAGATGGCTGAACACCAGCCTGCCCATGGGAATTTGTGAATGAATTCCTTGTTTTGCTTTGTTTGCTGCACAGCTTTTGCTTCCCCTGTTGAACTGTCTGTATATAACCCCACAAGTTTTCTCACTTTTACACTTCCAGTTCTTTCCCCCACCCTGCTCATGAGGGAGTGAGGGAGCAGCTGCATGGTGCTTTAGTTGCTGGCTGGGATTAAACCACCACAAGGAAGTATCTCAGGAGATGGATTTCATTTAATGTAGGGAGGCAATAATGTCATTGTGTAAGACCCAGGTAAAATCTCGTTTGAGGTACTGTGAAAACCTAATCCATTATTCTATAGCTGAGCTAAGGTTGAACTAAGAGAGGGCCAGAGGGAAGTTAGGTTCATCACCAGAGACCTTGAGAGCCTTTCAAAGGAACAGATCTTAGGATGGCTCAGCTTGTTTACTGCAATAAAACAAAACCACAGAGGAGACACAAGTGCTGTCTATAAATATATCAGGAAAGTAAACATGAAGGATGAAAACCATTTAAATGAAGGGGAAAGACACAAGAACAAACAGGTCTGTACTATTCAGTAATAAATCTATCAGGAAACCAGAATAATGTTTCTAGACATTTCTGCAATTGACTAATGAAAGTGCCTTTCCATGGAACTAGTGGGAACAAAAATATTTCTATTTTTAATATGGCACTTGATAAATGTGTGTGGTGATTGTATAATAGAGCTTTTTTGAAGTGGCAGGGAACTAGACCCTGTCATTCAGGAGGATCTTCCTGTTCTGTGTTACCATGCCAATTCATAGTACAAACAGCAGAACATTTTGTCCAGATTTATGATTAATAATATGGGAAGGACCTGTCAGTTTTCTCTGAATAGTAGGCAAGGTTCAGAAGTCCTTACAAATGCAACAGTTAGATTGTGTTACTGTGACTTCAGTAAAGCATATGATGTCAGCATTCTATAGAAAATAATAGAAAGAAGGAAATAAGCAAAAGAACTTTTAAGTGAGATTAAAAAAGCACAGGTAAGTTGCAGATAGTTCTTCAAGGATCAAGTCACAGGCCCAGAGCCCTGCTTGGATATCAGTACAGGTATGTATCAAATGACACCCTGGTTTTGTGCCGTGTTCTGCTTTTGTGGTACACAGGGTTTCAATTTAGTCCTTTCAGCTATTAAGAGCAGCCTGGTCTGAAGCTGGTCTACTTAGCAGAGCCATAAATTCAGTGTGCTGCACTTCCTTAACACACAGCAGGAGATTAACATGTTAATGTGCAGACTGGCTCAGAGATGCCAGCAGAGCTACTAACCAGTGTTCATTCATCTCATGTAATTAATCCACAACTTGACCTCAAGAAACAGAAATAAAGAGATGGTCTCCTGTATGTTATGAGTTGAAGATGTTAAATTTATTGATGTAACACTAGATTTGTTTCAAGAGAAAGCAAGTTTCTGCCAACAAGCTCGTTCCAGCAGGGAATTAAGCAACATTTCATTTGAAGTGTGGCACTGTGTGTTTTCTGGAATCTGTAAGTGGCTCATCACACATACATGATGCTAAGAATTACTGAAACAGAATCATTAAACACTCTGAAATTTGAGGATATTTAGATGTTTCATTGTCAATACCTAACTTCAAAAATGTATCTGGTCTCCTGAAGAGGCTCTGTTTGCCAGGGCAGGACTGATTCTATCACCTTTGTCCACTGATTGCATTGGGTGTGTCATACTTGATCTTCAGTAACAGGTCTGGGAGCACTTCAGTGTCAAGCCTGATGGCAGAACATCACTCTGTCATTTTTTTATTTCAGAAGCTGCTAATCAGTGATGCAGAGGGTGACTCAATTCTTTATCCTCAGTGAATCAATCCTGTTTACGTACAAGTGTGCCCATGTCACAGAGATATATATAATTCAGTCACAAAAGGCTGGTAGCATTTTAAAGGTTTCCAAACTGATTTATACATAGCCAATGCATATTCTGAGTTTTGTGATAAATAATTCTTCAGTTCCTGCTCTTTCCTTCTTACTGTGTACTTCACGTATTTGTATATGATTGCTTGAAAATCACAAGGGTACAGCCACCTCAAATCATAGTTTTACCCCTCTCTTTTCTCTCATGGTACAAATTACTAAGTAGTGTACTGTCATCAATTCTAACAAGAAGCAGCCATAAAATCTCTTCCCCCAACAATTTTAAAACTTTCACCAGCAATTTTTTGAAATTTGTGCTATATGTGGTGTTTTTCTCAGTCTAGAAAAGAACTAACTTCTATGGAAATATGTAGAAATAAAGCTGGAATATTTTAGCAATACAGCTTTATTTAAAGTAGAGTCAAAATAATAAAAAAACCAAAGTCAATTTTTCTTTCCTTGCCTTTCTGAACATGCACACAGCTGGTAAGTTGGCATAATGGTCTTTCTAATTGACAGAAGTAATTTCACCAACATACCCGAGGTCCAAATATTGTAAAACATTGATGTATTACTTTTACACTTTTATAGAGAAAGATAAAGAGATTTAACCAATACCAAAGATACGCTCTTCAGTACAATAAAGTCCCACTAGATGGAAGCACCTCAGCTTCCATAATAGCAGGAGTAAGTGGAAGTACAGTAGTTTAAAACACATCCTATGGAAAAGTATAAACGTTGGAAGAATTTTGAGGGAAACGTTTTATTTTGCCCAGATTCATCTATCAACTAAAAAATTAAAAATCCCCAAAATAGACACTTTTACTATGAGCCATATGAGCTACCTAATAAAACTCCACGTCAAGCAACTGTGCTGGAGTCCTTGGGTTTACATGTAGTGTATGCTGTAGCTTAGGAATTCTTTTGGAAGTCCTGCAGAATTAAGAACACATCACAGTTTTTCTCTAAATCCCATTTATATTTAGTCGTTAGCTTAAAAAAATCTTTCCAAAGCACATGGATAAGTTCTCTGCTTTAAGGACTTTCCCCTTCAGCCCAAGCTTTTACATAGCCTTCAGGTACATTAGATTTTACAAAGGTGGTCACAGATTGATTTTTCTTGACTTTCCTTTTCTTGTTCTGAAATAGAAATGTTAATAACTAACTTAATAAACATGATCAGTGACTGTCTTCATGATGCTTCCATCCTACAAACTTCATGTAACATTTCATAGGATTATTAATTGCCAGTAATCTTGATCTCTGCCAACTTGAATTCATGGGTTCATCTTTGTTCTAGGTGGCATTCTCCCACAGGTAGTGATCCTTCAGTGCATGACTGACAAAGTGGATAACATCAGAAATGAAAATAAAATACAGAAGGCAGCCTTCAGAATCTATTTCACTTAGAGATGTGATTTTTTTTAGACACTATCAATGAATTTCCATGTAGATTCCTAAGAGAATATTGTTGACTAGGTGGCATTTTAAAAGAGGTATTTTTATTTCAAAGCATTTTCCCAACAAAAATCTATTCCTTAGCATTTTGATTTCTATAGGTGTGTTCTGTGAGTACCCGAAGACTAAAAGTGGTGGATTGAACTAGAAAAAGGAAAAGCAAAGGAGAGTGATAAAAATAAATCTGTAGGATGAAGAAATATGATCAAAGGCTGCCTTCAGTGGCTGTTGGAGTAGAAGGGAATCACTGTGTTTGCACCAGTATCCTGTGCTATTACACCTAGATGTTTTAAGCAGGAATGAAATGAGAAGGGATTGATGCCACAGCCAAGCGTGGAGCTACCCACCTCTTTACATGCCTTTAAATTCCTTTGAAATTTTGGCTGTTTCACTGTGAGATTGACAACACTAATAAATTTGATAGTGCATGAAGCAAACAGAAAGGGAAAATTTTCTGAACTTGAAAACTTACTGAATGATGTTTTTTATTAGTGATACAAACGAGATCACTTAAAGGTAGGTTCCCACTGAGGTCTTTCTAATGCTTTTATTTCTTTTTTATGAACACTGCCGTAGAATTTCAAGGAACAATTACATCTAATTGGGCTTTAGCTCCTTTTAATGATACGAGTTCAGAGATAAGCTAACTAAATTTTCCAGTCTTTCAGATAGTTCCTTCTGTTTAGTTGTGTAAGTTTAAACTTGGCTCACTTTTTGAAGAATGATTTTGAAACAGTGTTGACATAGCTTAGCTGGTAAGGCTTCCAGAGGATTGTGAACGCTGTCATTTCAGAGCAAATTTGTATTTGTGCTTAAGCACTGTATGTATTGGTTTTTAGACAGAAAATACTACATTTCTACTTGACAAAATTGTCTGACTGTTCCTGTCATGTTGAGCTCCACCAAAGTGTGTTGTGAAATCCTAACAGACCCAATTTACCACACACCTGTTCTTTTTCATTACATTGAACATTGTCCCTGCATGTTCTGGTGGGCAAACAGGAACATGCTTGGAAACCTGGGTTTGTGAATGGGAGTTTATTAAATGAGAGTGTTCATGTTCCTGATTAGGAGAAAGATTTGCTACCATTGTGTTTTCCTCCCCCTGACAGCCCTCTGCCCCTCCTCTTCCCTCTCCCAAGACACCCCCACCCCCGAAGGCAGCCTCTCCAGGTGAGGTCCCAGCCCAGCCTGGGCTGACACTGGGTGCTGCTGCAGAAAGAGGTGGGGCTGCCACAGCTCCCTCCACCCTTCCTCCCACCTGAGTTCAGCTGCTGCTGCTGCTGCTGCTGCTGCTTTGCCAGTGCCAGAGTCGTCCCTGTGCACTGTAACCTTGGCATCCTCGGAGCATCCAGCAGCTGCCAGGCACTTGCAGCCCTCTCATGAATGTCTTTCTTTTTCTCCAAGTGGCTGACTTCTGTTTTTCAAGGCTACTGTTTTCCATCTCCTCGCTTAAATACTGTAAGTACAACTTCTGCTGTGGCTCTTTCGTTACTGCCTTTGTGAAATTCCTCTCTCTTGTACTGAATAGTGAGAGTTACTCATTCAAAGTCTCTGAGGTTTGCTGTGGTCTCTGCTCCTGTTTGTGCTGTTCAAATGAGCCCTTAGTATTTCAGTTTTTAGATGGATTAAAACATGAAATTAGAACAACTCCAAGTGTTGGTGGTTTCCTGGCTGCCGTTTTCCTACTTTGTAGGAAATTGCCAATGTGTCCTTCCTCTGAATGCTGGTGCCCAGTGAAGTGGAAATGAGAAGAGAAGCCTTTCCATCCCTACTTTTTTGCTGGAACCAGTGTTCTGAGAACCCAAAGAAGAGAAACTAATGCATGGTGATAAACTCTCAGGATGCTGAGGCAGGTAATCCTGCCACCTGCTGAAACCTAGCTGGCCTGGGGTTTTAGGAAGAAGCTAGGCTGGAAAGTATCGGTCTGGCTCAGTTCCTTGGGTGCTGAAGCTGAAGTAAAGGAATACATGACTAGGGACCTCAGCTGGCTGCAGCAGTGTGATTACACATTCAAACAAACAAAAAAATCATCCCAAGACCCTGAGGCTATAGCAAAAAGGCCTATTTCTAGCTGTTCTGGTTCCTGACCAAGTTTGGCGTGACTGTGAACTCCAAGGTGTCACCCCAACTCTGTATTCTTACAGACATTCCACATAAATGTTGTATGATCTATGGGTTATTCTCTCTTTAATTGCATCACTAGGAGTTGCAGAAGGGATGTCAGTGTGTTAGCACTTGGAAGATATCACAGACTAACTTTTAATATTGACAGTGCCCAGAGGTATTTTGAGTGGAAGAACACACTTGCAATTCTGGCCAAATTCCCAGTAAAAGTTGCACAGCTGTCCAAAATGTTGCCTTTTTTTTTTTTCTGTACAAAATCTCATATAATTTTCATAATTATATTTTACATCCTGAATTGGAAACTGTGAGAATAAGCATGTCACCAGCTACTTGATATGGAATTGATTTAGGATACCAAAATAAGGGGCACTGTCTGAAAGTTTTGACTGTCTTTTTTTATCAGACTTCTTCCTATGCTTGTCTTTTCTGTTTGATTGGTTTCCTCTTTATGTTTATTCTCATGTTCCACTGCACTTCATAAAGATAGAAAGGGCTGATAAAAAGATTATGAGGTGTTCTAGTGCTGTTCTGTCTAAACTTGATTCAAGGATATGAAATACACATCATAGGAAGCCTGCATTTTTCCCAGGGGGAATCTCTCTATAGTAAAGAATACATATTCTGTAGCATTTGAAATTCTCATTGTGCCTCCTGTATTATTGCTCTTTCCATCTCCAGTTCTCTGGATATTTTCAGTTTTGCATATATACTAGAAATAATAATGCCAAATAATGATAAAATTTTACCTAATTTTCTAACATAAGCCAGAAAGGAATTTTCTGTCTTGCAACAGTTTCTGAACGAGTTCATAACATGCCTACATTCACCCAATACAGTCTGATTTACCATTCCTTCATTACCATCTTTCTGAGTCAGACTTTCCATGAAAGACTGCCTGTTTATAATTGTTGTTTGTTTGCAGTAACTTAAAATAGTGTACCACTAGGACTCTTTAAGCATCTGCTATTAACCTGATTTTACTGACAATCCAAGCACAGGAGGTTAAGGAAAGAAATGTTGGTCTCAAGGAGTAGTTCTGACATTGTCTATTGTCACTTCAAACATTTTGCTTCAGGTTTTCATGTTTGAAATGGCATTAACAATTTCTAGGTGCAAATCTAGCTTTCAGCATTAGGGTTCATTGACTGGTATTTATTCCATGGTTTGGAAAAGTATTTTTCTGAATATATGTATAAATTATCTCCTGGGGTACCCATGAGACTTATGTGACAATGAACTATGTAACATCAGAATCACTGTGATTTTATACACTTCTTTTCAGGTATCTTCTCGAAGTATGGAATTTGTATGGAAACGATGGTGGTATCTTCAGCTGAGCTGTATATTGATAATGAATTTGGTTTATGCCAATCTAGAGTATCAAAAAGAAACTCCTCCAAGCCTGCTTGAGATTGACCATCAGTGCTGGGAGGCATCATCCCATGGGCTGGTGGAAATGAAGAAACTCAAGGTAGCAGATACAGTCATTGCTCTCTGGGACTTCATGATGTTCCTAAAGGAATCCCCTAAGCCCAAGCACAATGAACTCTTCAATGATTTAGCCCAGAACTTCTGGGATATGTATGTGGACTGTGTGCTCTCAAGATCCCATGGAATGGGCAGAAGACAATTAACATCTCCCAAATATTCTTCCACATACTCACACAGAACTTTAGAAGGTAACTATAGGATATGGTACTAACATATGAAACAATCCTCACCCTTCATTGTTTAGACAACTCAGTATACTAATTCCCAGTTTTCTGTCTTTGCATGTCAAAAGTGTTTGCATCTTTCAATGGTAGCTACTTTTACAATACATGAGACACTAGTAGTTAGGGTATTACATTTCTATAGTTAACAAAGTGTAAAAAATGCTGGGTGTGCATGTGGAAATGTGTGGAAAAGGATACTGCATTCTCTGTTTATCACTGTGTGCATAAAAATGACAATACATTAATAAAGTAATTTCAATACTGAAAGTCTCCTGATATCAGGAGTTCAGTCTCAGCTTTGGGGAACCATCATTCTGCAGAAGGGAAGCTCAAATCCCTGACAGTTTGAGCCCTATTCTTCCTACTAAAACTGCTGACATGTAATGTGATGTCATGGTCACTGTGACTCACGAAACAGTGACAGGTTCTGGTCACCATGATCGGGTTTGACTCTGAACTGATGTAGGTGACTTTACATCTTACTAATCAGTCCTAGGTCTGTTGCCCCTGTTCCTCCTCAGCAACAGGCTTTTTTCTGATGTACCCTGCCAGATGATTCAGGTTCTCAGAATGAACATGAAGATTATTTAATCATATAATTTCTAACATCTTACTTGGACAATAACTACCTGTCTTTCATAATCTTGCAGGGTCTGCTTTCACCAATCCATTTTAGGCCAGAAGGGGAGAAGATGAAGATACTTAAACAAGGCAACATCAAAATGAAGGAGCACAAAATCACAATATATATTGTAGGTGTTTGGACAAATTCTTTGGCATAGTTCAATCTCTTTTTATTTTTCCCTTCTTTTTGTATAAAGTACTAAATCGCTCCTAAACTGAAAACTACATGAACCCCCAGACTGGAACTTTTGCTTTCCTGTCTTGCAGTCTACCAAGCTTGCCTTTTCCTCACTGCATGTGTGAATGTGTTTGGAGTCAGCACCTCTGCTTTCCCATATAAACGTTAAAGTCTGGATGTGCCATATTTTTGTAGAGTCTTGTCTTTTCCAATAATTCTCTTTTTAAAAGTTAATCCTGATGGAAACCCAATATATTTTTATACATTATCCAACAGAGGAAATGTAAACAAAAGTATTTTGTACATTGTCTTGTACATACCATTAAGAACTGCCAAAAAAAGAAAGAGGTGAGACATTAAGCTGAAGGGGAGGATTATGCTTATTGTAATGTCCTGTGCAATCTAGACTTTGTATTTTATCATTGCTTAGTCTAAGCTATGGATTAATTAAAGTATTTTTCTAAGCAGCAAGGTCTGAATAGCAGTAGTTTTCTTGTCTGTTACCATGTTATTTGGTAAGCCACCACTACATGATGTGAAGCACAGTGCTTTACAAAAGACTGCAAGTAAGGTGATGCAGTCCATGCCTGTCATTGCAGGCAACATCGCAGTTGAGATGGGACCAAGTGGCTCTAAAGAGGGACAGACGGACTGGACTGCTGCTCTCAGTATAAACCACTGAGCATGGAGATTAACTGCCTCCTTAATCCAATTCTTCTGAGCATAAAAAACCTGAGAAATGCTGACTGTTCTCTGCTTTACTCCTTGGGCAATGCAGCTTGTTCAGTCCCTGTTGTGTTTTAGCCTTTTATGAGATTACAAGTAGTTTTAATAATTTTAGGAAATAGTACTCATAGTAAACCTTCATAAGTAACAAGAAATCCATCCCATATAATGCCTAGCTCATATATAGTTTGTAAAATATCCAACAAGTCTCACAGATTTGTAAATGTTCATTTAGGTAAATACAATATTTAACTTATAAAATATGTCTCCTACAGTATTCTGGAGAGGGTACAAAGTAGAGATTTTTCTGGCGCATGAACATCACTTTAGGTTGCTGATAGAAATAATATTGTTGAACAAATGGAGTTATTACACACCCAAACACAGCAGCTTCAGAAATTGATACATTATGATGAGCAGCAGTTTGAGAGCCATCATCTAACCTGCCCCAGCAATATCCAGTTTATAAAGTGTACTGCATTGCATTTGCAACAAATATTTTAACTGGCATAAATCATATTAAAAATGCCCTTACATTTCACTTACAGAAGTAGTAAGTAGATAATTTCTGTAGGTGAAATGATCACCTACAGAAGTGTCAAAGTATAATAACATTTTAAAGGGATTGTTTCCTCTATGAGTGGTCTTTTAATTGAATGCCAGAACAAGGTATCCTATGCAGTTTTAAAAGCTTCATCCTTCTTCAGGCAGTAAGTCTGTTTTAATTAGTTTTCTATAAGACACAAAAGTGCTTAGCATCCACTGTAATTGTTTCTGGAATGTTTGAACAATCAATTGCTATGGTCACCCTGCGGTGTCTGCCAATGGGGCAGGTGATTATGAGCCCCAGATACACAGCAGCAGAACAAATTCCAGCTGGACATTCTATGGTGTACATCTATAAGAGCTGTGGAAAGCCACAGATGACTACTCCTGGGATGGCAGCATGAGGGATTAACAGTGAATGGGATGCTTTTTTCTTCCACCAGTACCTCTTCTTTTTCCATCCCTGGGTTACAGCAGGGACAGCAAGCCCAGTTTCTTGGGTGTTGTATTTTTCCCCCTGCAACAGCCAAACACATGGCTGTCTGGCAAAATCAAATGCTGCTTGTGCTGCTGTGAGCCTTGTGTTAGTATTGATTTATGAAGGATAAATGGAAGTATTTGGGGAAATTCTGTCTCCTTAATTCTCCAGTCATTATTAATTAACATTAATGTTCAATTAACAAGTGCATTTGCAGCTGATCATTTGCAGTCAGGGTGTCTGTAGCAGAAACAATACAGTTGTGGGAGAATGCAGTGGGCCTCACTTTGTGCCTGACTTAAAGTTTTTGCATAAGTAAAAGTGATTTCCAGTTAAAGGTCCTTTAGCCATACCTTGGCTACAGTGTATTGCTGTAGCTTTGGCTCAGAAATCGGAAAGACTTACCTAAGTCCTCTACATTTGTTTTTAGTGGGCCTTTGCCTTGCTGCCAGTAGTAATGAGTCACCTACACATTCATGTATGTGCATGAAAAAATGCATGTGAATACCACTCCAAATGCCACAGTCTTTGGTCTCCTAGTAAAATATGTATAGTTTGGTTTTAACTGTGAAAACACAACAGACCATACATTCTCTAAACCAGTAATAAAGCAGCAAGGCTGCTGCAGAGCTGTCAGGGAAATACAAACATAAAAAACTGAGCAAGATGACTTGACACAGAAGACTTTAGTGAGAGAATCTTTATATACCTTGGATAACCTTTCTTGTAGACAGGCAAGAAATACACAAACAGGGCTAGTTCAATAAAACAAACTTTATACAGATAGTTTTGGGAAGAAGTCATCATGAAATTAGATTATAATTAAATATTATCAGTCAGGAAAAGGTCAGCATAAAATTTAAATTAAATTAGCACAGCTCAATTTAATTTCTTTAGCTTTAAGTATTAAATGACTTTCCTACTGTACAATGTGATAACTTTCTTACTCAGCAAAGGTTTAACAGACCTGCCCATAAGAAAAATCCTTCTCATCTTTGGAAAACACACGTAGCAATTTTTCTAAACCTCAAATACCATTTTTCATATGTATGTTTTATTTTATTATTTTCTTAGGGTTCTTCTTTTCATAGAATTTAGGTAGTCAATTTTGAAACAAAACTATTTGCCTTTATTTTTAATGCCACCAGTGCTACATTTATCTTGTTATGTGACAAACATTTTTAAGATACAATTATACACATACCTATCTCATCCCTCTTTCAAGAAGTAAAAAAAGGGAGTTGGAATATGTTTAGCTCAAATTTATTTCCTTTTTTTCAAGCTGGCAGTTAAAAAAGCAAGAGTTTGTGCTTTTCTCAAGATGTTGCTGACAGGCAAAAAAGACAGACTAACTGCCAGTTTGCATGTCAGAGCATAAAATCTTGCAATGTCACAGAAATTTATGCCATAGCACTGGATAACAACTGGTTTTAAAACTAAGAGCCCCAGGGAATCTTGTGCTATTGTAATGTAGTGAATTCTGGCACTGACCAAATTAAAAAAGAAAATAGCTCAGAAATTGAGTCATCTACACAAAAGTTTGCTGCTCAGCAGTTTGTGTAGGTATTCTAAAGGTGCCACAGTGGAAGAAGATGAGTTCTTTTTGGAGACAATAGGAATAATAACCCAACAATTATTAGATTAGTAAGATCAGTTAAGAGCTGTGAGCAATCCAAATGGAGAAGGATGTTGCAGCAGGTCTCTCCAATGGGCTGGGAGAAACTGTTGGCATAAACAAGCTCCTTGGTGAGTGTCTAGATGAAAACTGGGATGTCAGAAGTCCTGATGCTAAAAGTGGCAATTCAAGAAACAAAACGAGCTTGGACAAAAACTATGTGGGTATGGCATTCAGAAAAATGAAGAACTGAATGTGCTTATGTTGAGATTTATCACCTTGCTCAATGAAATATTTAAACTGCAATATATGGAATGTGTCAATGAGAGATGGGAATGAAAACTGGACCTGCTGACAACTGGATATTACCACACAAAGTTACTAGACTAACATATGGTTGGTACCATACTTTACAGGGGACTTTATTAATAAAACATCCCCACATTATATTAATTAAGGGAAAATATAATTTTAGTCTTATGATGTTCTAAGCAATTTTTCAAATAATTAAACCCAGATTTTATCTTGTATCTACATATAGGTAATAACATTAATATAGCACTCTTAGAAACAGCATCTATTCTATAGATACTGATTTTTTCTTTACCGAGTCCAATGTTTTATCTCTTTTGATCTTTTTTAAGGCTCCTTTACAAAGAGAGGACTTTCTACGAGCATGGTCTGTATCAGCCAGTGGCCCTCCACCGTGCTGAGGAGGAGCTCTTTGCACAGTTACAAAGCGACCAGGTCCAACCTGAAATACAAAATCAATACATTGCATGGCTTTCATGCTAGCATTTAAAATGAGAGGAGAGTTAAATCATGAACTGCCTTTTGAAAATATTATTCACTTGGTGGAGATGCCTGCTGAGGTTTCTGACGGCCACTAAAACTATCCTTTATATGAAATTTACAATTTGTTCCCATTAATACAAAAGAAAGAAGTGTTTTTTCAGAGGGTACTTTTATGTGCTCTGCTTTTCTGCCTTCATGTCTGATTTATGAATTGCGAAAAAGAAAATCAAGCCTTGATCCAATAAAAGCTTGCTGTACTGTGTTATTTGGATTTGTATAGAATGTCAGCCACAGCTTGTGACCTCAGAATTTCACTTTACATTATTACTTATTACTTCAAATTAAAAAAAAAAAAAGAAAAAAAAAGAACTACTGCTCCAGTAAAGCTCCAAGACTGAAAGACACATACCCTCTCCAGATTCATTACTACTCTTTATATGGAATAGGTTGGGGTCTTGGAATGAATACCTGAGTGACAGCTCTGAGTAACCTCCTAAAAAATTGCAACTCCTTGAGTGCTTGTGGCTCACACGTTTGATTACTTGACCTTGAATGGTTTGCAACAACCATTATAGCTTAATCTTCAGTTCTCCCTGGTGAGGGTGTTTGGCAGAGAGGAGGAAGAACAGTGTTGCATTAAAAAAGTTTTCAGCCATGCCTATCATTTGTGATTCTCCCAAGCAATGTACCTGAGGAATGTTATATGATGTTGCTGATACATTTGTTTTCTCAATACACCTATTGTGCAAAATGGACTAACCTTTTCCTTGTTTTTATCTACAATTATTGAAATATTGGTTGTAGAACCATGAAGGCATTTTCTTGTTAAATCCTCTCCCTCTAAGATATGAACATTCTTGGCTTGAGATTCAAGCCCTTAAAATAAAATCTAACAACGTATTTCTCTCCACTAACAATTTACAGATTACTCATGCTTATATCAAAAATTTTCAGGTACTTTCTGCAAAATATTGCTGTTTAACAGTCTCACTGTTGTTTATGCAAGTACCTAAATAATTGTTCCAGACCACTTCATCTTGCATTTACAGATGTGTCCCTCCATATCTTCCTGAAGTTTAAGATAATGTGGGAAAAATTCTAGTCCATCACCTTGAGACAATCCCCTTGCTTTCTATTAGGCTCCTTGCTTCTCCATCACATCAAACATGAACTTTCTCTTTTCTTTTTCAAGTTGCAGCCACCTTGCAGTCACTATTCATTCATGCCAGGGAGCCCAAAATAGAACATCTTGCCTTCATACAAGTTTGAAAACAGCACCTCATGTTTATTCCTTTTCATTTTTCCTCACATGCAAGAATAACTTATAAGCAACCAAGAAACTATCCCCCTTAAGTCCTCCTTTGTGGGGGCTGGGGATAGCTGCGATGCTTACACAGAAATAATCCAGTTAGCTCAAAAACAGTTATTTGCTAGACTGAGGATTCTCCCATGTTTTGTCCAAACTCAATGTCTAAATATGCTTTTAGGTGTGAATTAGATCTTAACAAAGGCTTTTTATTTTCTCACACTTCAATTAACTGATAGAAATGAGAACAAAATGTTTTCTGCAGATGCAACAAGTGGCTTATCTGCAGACAGTCTGGGACATGTTCCTGATAAAGGACACCTCTAGGGATGTATCAAAGATAGCACAGATGTACTTAACAATGAAAGGAGAAGGTCTTGACCTCAGCAAGGTTTTCATGAATGGCTCTCTCACAACAGGTACATGTCACATAGCATAGGGTCCATCTTGCCCATGCAAGTAATTACTTTATTATTTTCAGAGTAATTTGCAGATTTGAATCTCATTTTGGCCAAGTGCTTGTCTAAGGCTATGTCAGAACGGAAGTGGCAATTTGCAGAAGATACAGATTCTTTCTTATGTACTTGGAGCTTGTCAACATAAACATTATTAAAGAAAGTGTAAGCAGCAGCATGTATAGAGCCAGAACAAACCCCATACCACTTAACTATTAATGAAAATAAAACAGTGTTATTAAGGATTACTTACTGTTATATGGAGGTTTTTAATATCAGTAGTATAGTCTGGTCCGTTTTGAATCTTTGCTTTCAATCTGGAATTCTCTATTAATGTTTCCTGGAGCCTTTTTGCTTTCTAAAGATAGTCAAAAAAAAGGTAAAATTGTTTTAATCTGCATTAATTGTCTCATTTGCACTAGTCTGAAAATATACAAACAACATGACAAAGTAAATGAGGTTATAATTCTATTTGCCTTTAATTGTAAGTACCCTCCCCCGTTTCTTGACTCTTTTGACTCTGTACTGGACACCCAAAACCAGAATAAATGGACGAGGTCCTGCAAGGGTGGGAAGTGGATCCCTGCTGGCTGTGACCCGCGGGCTGTGTTTTGTGCAAAGCAGCCCTGGGTGCTGTGAGCCTCCGTGGCCACAAGAGCACACTGCTGCCTCACGGTCAGCTTTCATCCCACACCGAGCACACAGCTGCCTCTCACACAGACCCAGCTGTACTGAGGCATCTCAGCACAATCCCAATACATCCCAAGTGGAAGACCTGACATTTTCTTTTCCTCAACTTCATGAGCTTTTGGTCAGCCCATCTGTCCAGCTCCTGAATAGCAACCCTACCTCCCAGCATATGGATTGCTTCCTCCAGCTCAGGGTCACAGAATTGCAGAATCACAGAATGATTTGGGTTGGAAGCGATCTGAAAGTTTATCTAGTTCCAACTCCCATGCTGTGGACAGGGACACCAGGTTGCTCAGAGCCCCGTCCAGCCTGGCCTTAAACACTTCCAGGGAACAGGCACTCACACCTTGAACTTGATGAGGATGGATACTGATCCAATATCCAAATCACTAATGAAAATGTTAAATCAACACTATATTATCAACCCTATAATTAACTCAGAGGAATATCACTTAAATCTGACCACTAGTTAAACTTCAATCACTGACCACTGTCCTTTAGAGCCCATCAGTCCAGCCAGTTTTTCCCACAGCTTGTAGTCAACCTGAGTGTAATCTAGTCCATATATCCCCTTATTGATTATAAGAATGCTATGCAGGACCACGCTGAAAACCTTGCTAAAGCCAAGGGAATAGGTATCCCCGTTCCTCTTTTTCTAGAGCAAATAATTTTATCACAGAAGGCAACTATGTTGGCAAGGCATGATTTGTCCTTGGTAAGTTCATGACAGTCTATATCAATCTCCTTTCCCCTCAACTGCTTCCCAGAGACTCAGTTAAAGCTAATGAGTCTGTATGTCTTCAGGTTCCTTTTTTTGTCCCTTTTTCATTTCTAATTCTAGCGTACATCTTTCCAAAGGCCAGGGAGACACTTGTATAGAAAGAAAATTGTTCTCCTTTGCAGCTCCTTTGGGAAATGAAGAAAAATTAAATTTAGCTGCCAAAGTTTTTCTTTTAAGTCTGATTTCATTCATTTTCCAACTTAGTCTGGTTGCCAAACCAGGACTCCAATATTTTTATGTTCTTTTGGGAAAGTGCAAATATTGCTAGAAGAAACTCCTTTCATCATAAAATATTTCCCATCTTGAAAGATGTTTGCTGTACTAAAAAAAGAGAATGAAGAAGTAGAAAAAGTAAAGTAAGAATGAACAGAAGTGTAGTTTCAATGCTTTTAGAAGAAATACATGGGTATATACACCCACTCCTCAACTGCAAGTGACAATGTTCATCTCCAATTTGTGATTGTAGTCAGAAGAATCAAAGATTGTATAATTTTTCCAATACATCTTAGGGTTACTTCTTCTATATCAGTGTGAATATGAAATTTTCTATCATTTTTACTTGAATATCCTTATAATTCTATAATATCCTTATAATTATAAAACAAAATGTGTTTGGAACTTCGCAGTTATTATAACTACACCACGACTGTGAATTTTTTGCTCCATCAGGTTTCTTACCTTCAATGCCTCATAGTTTGATGTCCGAGTCAAGAAATTTTCCCAAGATTCCTTTATCGCTTCTTTCTGTATATGGGCATCTTTGATCTGTAATAGCAACGAGATTTTCAGCATGCAACACAATCCTATTCTCATATCAGATCTCTTCTGATTTCATAGCTTGTGCTGTTTGAAAAAAATGTTCACCTATGCCCCTTTGGCTACCTTAGTTCACCCCTCTTACCTGAGATTGGATGATAAAGTTGTAGTGAAGTACCTGCCCTTTAAAAACCTCATTTATGCACTTCCCCTTAAAACAAAGAGAGGCTTACTTAGTGCAAACTAATTTTCCTCTCTTCCAACACATACGTTGGATGAAGCCCAGCTCTTCCAGGAATACTTTCTGTATATTCTTACCCTCAAATGCCAAATAAAAGAGATAGAATCAGTTCAGGTGACAAATTTGCAGTCATCATAACGCAGGACAATCCCTCAAAACCACCAGCATGAGATTTCAGACAACTGGACCAACTGATCTTACTTCTCAGAAAGCAGGAGAGGGTGAGACAATAGATGAGCAAAACCACAAAATATTTGCCTTATAACCAAAGCTGGAAAATGTCTATACCTTCTCATTCTCAGCATGCTGGGAAGCACAAAGCCCCACTTGCTGAAGTAATAAAGGTCTGTGAATATTCAGCAAGGAAGCTTATTAAAGAGACTTCTACTTCATCTTAAGAAGCAGGTGTAGGTGTAATAGGTACTATGTATTGTTATCTGCTACAGATGAACACGGGCACAACTCTAGAGTTAAATAATGATCATTTCTCATTACCCCATTGCTGATGCATCACTGATGATACTGCTTAATTTTTTTCATGTTGGTCTCTAAATACTGTGGATATTTCACAAGCTGGGAAGACTGAGGTTAACCTAATTTAATTTAAAATTTTGCTACTGAAACAGATTAAAACTTTTCAAGCAGTGTACATGTACAGGATTCTCAACATCATATACAGTAAGAAAATCTGCACATAAATGGACAAAAAAGCTTAGGTGAGCTTTCTTTATTTAAATACTCCTTTGTCTTACTTCTTTGTAAGTTTTTTTCTCTTCCTGTATTTCATCATGGTGTTGTCTTTGAAGTATTTCATTCTGCAGAACAGCAACCCTTTCCCCAGTAGTTTCTGACGCCTCTGAAGTGAATTTCAAGATTGTCATGTCAGGAGTAACAGGCCTGAATTCTTCTTTTAGTTCTTTACGTATTTCACTCCAAACCTCTCCAATCTGTGTGTGAAACGTGCACCATATGATTCAGTATTTATCTCATTCTTCAGTTCCAATTATTCAAAATAAAATAAAGCAACCATAATCTCTCCTTATTGTTGTTTGACTTCTCAGAATTTTATGCAAGGTTAGACTGCACTAATACCATGCCAGATTCATTCATGATAAGCCTCCCTAAGCCTTCCCGTGTCCAAACTTGATTCAAAGAGGAGTAATAAGAATGCTGACAACTACAGAAATTTAGAAGAAATAGCTTCAAGACACCAAATTATAATAGTGAAGTGTTAAGTTCTACTGCCTACTTCTTAAAATCTCAAATTGCAGGCATTATTAAACTGCAACACGAGCCATCAATGGAAACTGGAATTATCAACCAAAGACTGAGTCTTGCTAATTCCTGAACACTGCAAGCTCTCACAGACTTCGTTCCTAAATATAAATTTATCATAAACTAAAGTGTCTTTTGAGCAAGATGGCTCTCACAAAGCTTGTTACCCTGCTGTAGTTTCCTATAGGCACAGCATTCTTAACTTTACACAGGATGGATGGATGGATGGATGGATGGATGGATGGACGGATGGATACTGCATGTGGGGACAAAGATCAGAAATCACAGAAGAACCTTTATAAGAATGTGTTTTTAATGTAATTTTTAATAGTGTCCCCTTAAACTGACCTTACAGCACAGGGACACAGTCCTACTCTGCAGTCCTTCCCCAGTTTCTTACTCCTGGCACATTCCTGTCTTGATCTGGCAAACAGTTAAAACTAATTTTTTTCGAGTTATTTTTAACTAGCATTAGTTTCTAGTTTTATTTGGTCACAAACACTTGTAGCAGTATGAAGCAAGAACAGGCGGATTGATGCCATGTTGGAAATGGCATTGTTTCTTTTGCTGGTGAATACTATGTGAAATTACAGGTGACTTGTGACATAGGGGACAGCTTTTGAGGGTTATTTGTTTGTTGTGTCCTGAGATATACTTGCTGGTTTTGGGAATGTGGGTACAATAGTATATTTGCTTGAACTATACTCACTTTAAAGTCAAGATAATGTTGTATAATAGCAAGTGTAACAAAATCCTTAGTAGATAAGCCAGGTAAATTTTCAAAACCTAGAAGAATATTAATCACATCAGTATGATGAATTTCTCTAAAAATATAATATTCTAAAAAAAAGTCATCTTAATTTGTCATATAAACATGCAAAATCTTCATCACACATACACGAGTCACTCACTCTTGATCCTGAGCAGGCTTTTGCTGATAAAAACCTCCTGTTTCTCCACAATACATTCTCACTGTACTAAAATCCTTACTTATGAATGGCTCTGTCAGCCTTCCAATCACTTGGCAGGCCAGGGTGCTACACTTTTGTGGTAAGGGTTTGAGTTTTGTTAAGGCAGACAGTTGAGTCTACAGATCACAGGTTCTAGAGCAGCAGTTCAGCACATAAACAGTTTGATTTAACTGTGCAGTAGCCAACAGGAAAATTATACCAGTGCTTTGCTCCAAAGCTGTCTAGTGAGGGTGTCCCTCCATCTTGTAGATTTTTGTCTTCAGCAATAATGCCTTGAGCATCGTGACTCCATCTTTAAAAAACATTCCCAATATGTGTAAAACAATAAGGTAGGGAAGTATGGTTGCTGAGACTATATATATATATATCTTTTTTCACACTGAAGGATAATGGCACTTAATTAAAAATAATATAAATATAGTCTATCAAATCTCTTTCTAGACTTCATATCACCTGTGTGGTAATTGGGAAAGTAGCATCAGTGTAGAGTATAATTACATCATGTTTTGAACCTAAGAAATACCGTAAATAAAGACCATTTACCACCACTGCTTTTCTGGATCGTCATGTTACAGGCTATTATGGAGCTTAATAGTAAGAGAAAGTTGCTGGGAAACGACTATAGAATATTTCCAAGTCTACTTTCATATAATTTCAGTACTTCACAGGAGACAGTACAATGTATGTAACTAACATGGAAGGTATCTGTGAATACAGGAAAAAGCTGGAAGAAAATCTTATGCCTTTTTATTTTAGTAAAGAATTCATCTGTGATCCAACATTTAACATAATTAACACTACTAAAATTAGTATGAACCTGGGTTACAACAGAGGAGCAAGTTGCTATAGGTTATTAGAGAAACTAAGGATGTTTTCAAACCAGTTTATTCTCTAGGTAAAGCAGAGAACTGGCTTTACCTAGAAGAGAAACAATCACAGAGCAATTATTGATTATCTGTGAACCTGCAGAGAATAGACATGAAAACAAAAATAAGCCTAAAACTCCCCACCCCAAAAATGATTAGACAAATAATGTTTATGCAGCTAAATGTTAACAGTAACTAAAAATAATATCCAACATGAATTACAGAAAACTAAGACCCAACTTTTGTCTACAGACAGAAAAAAATCTCATGGATGTGGAAGAATTTAACAGTTATCTTGACTTCGGTCTAGATTTTAACACATGGGTATAATGAGTGTTCATATTCAGTGTGCAAACAATGAAAAATTAAGAGGGACTGTCACACTTTGAATGAAAATATTGAAGTGTAAATTAATCTTGCCACCCTGAAAAATTATCTAAAAATACAGAATTTAATTCAGTAAGGACAAATAGAAAATTCTAACTGTAGGAATGGCCACCTGTACAAATCCAGGATGTTAGATGACTGTACAACATTCTGAGTTGAATGAGCAAACAACATCATGCCACTAGGAATGCAGCTATTGTTACACTTATGTCTGAATGTTTATTTGCAAGATGTGTAGAGCATCATAACTCTATCTGGCAGTGAATACTGGACTACTGTGATCAGCTCTGGGACACTTACAGACCAAGAAGAATTTGAATCTATTGGAAAGACTCCAGAATTAGAGATTATGTTAGAAAATGCAATCAATGAGTAGTAACTTTCTGAGTCTAGAGAAATAAATGTAGAAGAGTTAAAATTTGTGAAAGAGATATTGTGTGTGGGAGAATAAATTGCAGAGAATTTCAAGAGAATTTTAGGTATAGTCCCAAGAAAATTCTTCCTGGTGGTTGGGGCAGCAAAATAGTAGGGAAACCTTGAAATCCCAATAAAGAGGGACTTTTTAAAAAAACATAACAACCAAGCATCTATTAATGAGAGAGTACTGATGCTGAATCATGTTTTCTTAGACCTTGTTTGTTTTTTTTTATAGCAACTTTACTGATCACCAGTGAACAAGTTCAGTTTAATGACAAATATGACAACATCAAGGCAATTCATTTGTCTTACCTAGCTTGCAAAATAATGAATAAATTTTTGCCCTTATGTTCTCTGAAATTTCCATGATGGCAAAACTGGGACAGCTGGCAGGCACCGGTATGACCTTTTGCTGTTTCTGGAAGCTGGTAGCAAGAGGTCTCTTAGTGTCTAGTAATATAAAAACACAAAATCAGAGTAGAAGAATGAAGAGGTAGTATGTTACCAAACTTAGAGGAAATCCATCTTACTTGAGGACACCAAAATTTTTATTGTTTGGCCAAGAGTTTGAACATAATTTGAGTCAGGAAATTTTAATTAGCATGACTAAAAATTTGTGAGAACAGCACTCATTTGTTCTTACAACATATGACAAAACACATTGCCTTTTGTAGAAGAAATTAAACAGTTTAACTGCCCAGCATTAGAAAAGCAGGTCATGGTTCTGTTCAATACTTGGTTCATTCCCAGCTGATGTAGAAAATGCCATATAGTGGCCAAAATGCACTGAAAATTATTGAATAAATAAAATGAAATAAAAATAAATAAAATGGAAGATATTTTAGGTTTGGCAAGAATTATAGTATAAATGCTGTTATTTACTGTTAACAGAATTAAGACTACAAAAGCAAATAATGTAATTATTTTACTGGATTTCTCACAGTTCCACATGCATCATAAAACTCACCAATAATCTTTCCATACTGATCACGTTTTACTCCCAAATCCAACTCCTCCTGTCTCCATAACTGTATTAGAAGGTTAGCTGCTGTTTGATCTCTCTTCCCTCGCCAGACACGCATGTGCAAAGTGGTTTTAGGGTTGTCAGAAAATTCAACCAAGATTCCAAGAATTATATTGCACAGGTTCTGTTCCTTTGACTTGGTCAAGGAAAAAGTAAAGAAAGTTGTAAACTGTTCAAAACACGGCAATGTCTACTTTCTGAGAAATTGTGTATTATTTAATCAAGTAAGTGCAAGCTTTCCATCACTAGTACTTGCACAAAATCCATGTATAAACTTGCCAATCTTTAAAGTTTCTGGAATCCTGCTATGCAAAGATCCATAAATCCTGGAACATGAGGGACATGAGTGTAGGATCATTTAAGGTGCATTCCTGTGTGTAGAATTACACAGTACATGGCTCCAGGATCACATGCTGGAGAATACACTGCAACCAAGGTTTATTGTTGTAAGAAACAGACTCTGAAGGCAGAGGATGAGCAGTACTACACAGCACATCTTCTGTTTCGTGGCCAGATCTTTTGGCAGCAGCTGAGAGGAGGCAAGGGCTTCCAGCTGAAAGAGGGTCAGTTCAGATTAAATATTGGGAAAAAATTCCTTATTTTGAGGCTGATGAGGGACTGGAACAGCTTGCTCAGAGAAGCTGTGGATGTCCCAAGCCTGAAGGCTGGACAGGACAGGCTGTGGCTTTGGGCAACATGATCTAGTGGAAGGTGGCCCTGCCCATGGCCAGGGGAGCTGGAACTGGATGATGTTTAAGGCCCTATTCCAACCCAGGCCATTCCATGATTCTGTTATTCTGAGGGTCTGCAGCCTTGCACTGCAAGAACATCGGGGCTGACAGAACAACCAGTGTGAATAAGGAGTAAATGAACCAAGGAAGATGTGTTTTTACTTCAAAAGAAGTGAAATGTCTGTGCCAGCTCTAGGTCCAAGATCCACAGAAGCAGCTCTACACACAAGATACATGTACAAAGTAACTTCAAACATAAAAAATGTTCAAACCATCAAGTGCTCTTACTAACTTAAATATGAAGAACTGAAGTGTTTTTCTAAAGAGAGATATCATCCATACTAAGAGCATAGTTTGGGTTTTCCTTGCTAAAATAGTATAATTTTGTTAAATTAAAAACTCCCTCTGTCAAATACGTATTCAAAAAAAAGAAAAAATAGAGGGAAAACCTATTTGATAATTTCTGAGCAGATATCTGGGTCTGTCTCAGGGAATTAAATATACTGGGGTTTTTTTTCTTTGTTCATGGTTTGTTTTTTTTTTGTTTTGTTGGTTTTGGTGGGATTTTTTGTTTGTTTGTTTGGGTTTTTTCTTTTAGTATTATACCAGTCTTAGGAGAAACTGCAACAAAAATTATGCAGCTTCCCATATTGTTTTCCTACTCTTTCATTCTACAAAACCAGTAATAAAAATACCTACTGCCAACAAATCCAGAAGGAGGAAAATGCCTTGTTTTTCAATAAAACAGTCCTCTGCAACGGAACATCCAATGACACAGGACCTTAAACAGAAATAATTTCACTTATGTAGAAACACTTTCATACTTCTGAACATTCTACAATCATCTCATTTATCTTGCTGAATTGCATACCATTTGGTATGCAATATGCAATATAAATGTTTCATACCTTCAGGGAGCAGAAAAATCATGTTTCACGTGCCTTTTCATTTACACCTGTAACTAAATATACTCTGCTAGACTGCTCTTTCTTCTCCTGCAGGTGGCATACCATCCTTTAAGCAGCCTAAGAAATTTGGCAGGCTCTCAATGAATTGGAGTATGTATTTGAACTGAAACTAACTCAGTAAATATGTTTAAAATTTAACCAGGTCATGTCCCTAATCTGATTTATTGTAGGGCTGTGTGGATATTTCTGCCAGCAAAATCAAAGGAGTGAGTTGAGCAAGAAATTTTTTGGCAACAGTTTGCTTTTCTCAGATTAAAATTATCATAAAGCCAGCATTCATGTTGCTGTTGCTTCTTTATTTCCTCTCCTATGGTCATTAACAGAGAAACCAAAGAGATCTCCTGCATTGGTATTTCTCCCAGCAAACGTATTCGAGTTTTAATGTATTTATCAACCTCTGGCTTAAAACAAATTAAATTTTTATTTTCCTCCTATGTATTGTCAATCCTTAAAATATTTCTAGCCCAATATAGCCAGTTTACAAACAAATCTTATGCTTACACAGTTTTTTGCTAATATTGGTCTATTCTTGCCTGCTGTTTACGTCTCTGAAGTAATTTACACACTCTAACAAACATGCCTCTCTTAGAAAGTCTTGAGTAACTCTGCATGTCAGAAGGTCACTTTGTGTGGGGAGTGAGGTTGTCACACTGAATCCATATTTAGAAAATCTTACATGCAGTATATTCCATTTATTTTGCATTGTTTTTAATTTGTCAAACTTTATGGAAGATTTTTACACATTATAAACAGAAGAAAGGCCGATGTGTGCAGAGAAAGGTCATGGCATTGCAGACCTAACAAATACAAGACTTGACATTTTTCTGTGTTACTGCTACTAAAGTATTTCACTAACCACAAGCAGTCGAGGGCACTGAGGAGGAGACAATTGTAGCCTAATCCAATACATAACTTCCTTGGATCCATCTTAAAGAATGGGATAAGTCTATCAATTCCTTCACAGCTGAAGAGTTCCTGTTGAAATGTTAATTAAAGCAATGCTTCTTAATCAATATTCACTAAATTTAAACATGTAAGAAAATGCAATGGGAAATGTAAATGTTTGTATCGTAATAAATTTGGTCCACTTGTTAGAGCAGGATATACAGATAGGAAAAAAGATTTTCAGTTCTTCCAAAGTGCTAATTCATTCCTTAACATACTTTCATATATCAATTCCAAAATAAGGTAAATTAATCAAATAGGCTCAACACTTGCTAGTGGATTTCTGAGTGTTTTTGTATTTTAGCTGTGTCAAGAAACATGGCTTGTTAACAACGAGCTACAAATGACACCTGCTTTTTAATTAAAACACAAAGAAGCAGTGTCCTTTAAAAAAATATATAGTATGTTTTGACATTTTCTGCACAGTAGAAGATGGAAATATACATACCTTTCTGTGGACATCATTTTCACAGAGAACAGACAAAATAAATAATATGTCAGCTTGGATTTCCAGTAGAACGGTACCTTCTTTTTCTTTAGATTTGTCTGCTGCATACTTTAAGATGTCTGTAAATGTATATATTTTATATATATGAATGCCCCTATACACAAGTCAAAACTCTATTACAGCTTTTTAAAAAACTCAAATTTACATGAAAGGATTTTTAAAATAAGTTCAGTTTTATCTCCTGTGTTTTAATAATAGCTTCCAGAAGTGCAGCACTCTGATGTTGCAGTGTCACAACCTTTACTCTTGGAGACAGAGTTAATGACAGCAGCTTGCACTGACTTCTCCCTTCTTCAGACTCTGTGCTACCCCTTATATTGTGCCAGTGCAAGGAATTCAGGAAACAGATATGAGTTAAGGAACTCTTAGAAAAAGACAACAAACTGGCTGGTTCATGCTACTCTGCAGCTTCACAAATGTTTGAACTGACAGTGGAAATGTGGGAAAGACATGAAATCCCACCATTGCTGAGAAAACTGGCCTTGGAACCACTATGTCAAGAGAGCATTCATACACAAAACTCCCCCAGAGTAAGAAAAATTACTTAATTCTGATATGTAAGGTACAGTATTAATTTTGACTTCACTAAAAGCTGTAGTTTTCCACAGAGTTTGCACTGGAGGTGAACTGAGGCTATAAAATACTTCACTTCCAGGCTTTTTATTAGAATATACTCTTTGAATTCCAAAGCATCTTTCCTGTTTTGTTTCCCTCAAAGTACTGAGAACTTTGTTATTGCAATGAAAAAACTTAATCCAGTTTGTTTTGTAATTTAAACCAAAATTTAATAGTAGGTATGTGTTGCTGAACAAGAAATGCTCTAAAATTGAAGGAGCAGTGATTAAGCAGTTGTATTCTGGTTTTTTTCTTCACATTGTTCACATAAAGGTACCTTGTTATTAGCTTTATTCTGCACTAAAGAGGAGTTGTGGAAAGCAACACCATGATAGACCTAGGTGGAAAAATACTCATGGGCTGAAGTTTCTGGGGACTGCCACATGAAAACAAGATCTACATAAAGCGAGAAGGGGCAGCTTTCACTCTGAAATTAAACATCTAGACTTTTAAAACTGTCTGTTTTGCTTAACTCATTCAATGTGTATTGAAATGGAAAAAAAATTAACATTGAATCAGTTACATCTTGGATTAATTGGTAGAGATTTTTCTTTAGTTTTTCAGCAGTCAAAGGAATGACACAAGAAAAGCAGAGAAAGAAATGCATGAACATTCTTAGTGTCAACAAAAATGTGCTAATTAAAGAACAGTGATACAACTTGTGCTTTACCCAGTAGCTGGCTAATTGCTCCCTGGTCATACAAATCAGTGCTCACAGCATCATCATAAAGGGCCACAACAGATCTCAGCACTCGGATGCTGTAGCGCATTTGTGCAAGTTTGCTGCCACGACCATCTGTTCCATGGAAACTGTTACCTTGACCATAGAAATGATCTGTGGAGCAATCACAAGGAATACTGGCTTTGGCAGACAATCTATGTCCAGAATAATATGCTGGAAAAATAAAGACAAAAACAAAACAAAACAAACAAACATCCCAACCAACCAAACAAAAAAAAACCCCAAACCAAACCACAAAAACACCCAACCACGAAAACCCACAAAAAACCAAACCAAACCAAAAAAGCAACAAAAAACCCCAGAAACCCTCAAAACACAACAACAAAAACCCCCAAACCCCGTTGAAGTTAGAAATTACTCTGTTTAAAACCATCCAGTAATAAGCCTTTCTGTGTAGGACTATACTATTTAGATGCACAAGAAAGATAACATTTTAGTGAACATTTAAATTATTATACATTTTTTAACCTTACTAGGTTCATGAGCAGTTTTACAAACTCAAAACTTGTTATGTTTAGCATGACATTTAATATCAACCTTTTGATCTCAGTTCAACCTAAATTAAAATTTATTCCTAGGAAGACATACTAATTTTATGATGAAAAATTTTATGACAAAAATTTCTATCCTTAGAAATCTGGTCAACAAAACTGAGTGTGCTTAGTTATCTTTCTGCTTAGCCCACACTCTTATCTTCTGCCCAGAGGCCAGCTTTAGTCTGGAACCTGTCTCAACATGTACAACTCTGAGTTAATGTGAACTCTCTATTGGCAGGAATTACTGCTTGGTCTTCTTGCCACAAGGGAAGGCCCTGGCTCACTTAAAAAAACAGACAATAGATGTGTTTGTCTGAAGGAATATCAGTGTAGTGGTACACAGGGAAAGGAGCACCAGCTTATAATTCAGTAGGGAAAAAAAAGGATCATGAGTTGTTTTTTGGAAACACTTGTTTCCCAGGTGGCCTATGAAAAAGAATTATTCTGACATCAGGAGTTTTACATTTTCCTTTCCTGTCAAAGAAAGTAGGTTCAGTTGAACTTTGAAGTTGTTTTGAGGTTACCTGTGTGTGAAAGCCATGAGTACCCACTGACCTTGGCCTAGACACCATTCTAGAAACACAAGGAGAAGAGTATTCGCTCGGCAGGACAAATATTTATCTACTAACACAGGAGCCACTGAAGCTAAAACAGCAATTGCATGAAGCTGTAATTCTTCATACTGGGAAGCAGACCAGCCATGAAATCCAGGCTTTTCATTTTTTTTTACATAATAAAGCAAAGCTGGCATCACATGATTTTCACTGAGGAGCTGCAGAGTCCAGACAAAGAAAATGAGAGACAGTTTACAGGTTTCACATGCAAATAAGAAAAATCTAGAGGATGAGTCAACTTTATCTGTCCTACACTAACAAAATTATTTTTTAATTGAGAAACTGTGTCATAAACACTACAAGTACAGGCAAACTCTTTTTATATTCTGTAGCTTTCCCACAGATTGTGGTTTTCTAAATTTTATTATGTTCTTTGGGTGTATTTCAATAATGCTCTGCAGTCACTTGTCAGCAATTTTCCTAGCATGGTTTAAATTTGCAACTTTCTGAAATAGAAATTGTATGCTGCTCTCCAGCAGCACAACTTGGTCTGAAGCTATGTATGAATTATTGATTTGGAGAACAGATAATTTCAGTGTACTGGACTATGCACAGATGGACAGATAAGTAATATTCTTGTGAATTTTGTCTTCTTTTTATCATCATTATTATTATTATTATTTCTGTTCTGTTACAACTTACCTGTGCAGCAGATGGATCTTCAGATAAAATTCCTATTATATTCAATAGTAACTTCTTCATCTCAAAATCCTCATATGAGTAAGTAAGCTTAAAGCCTTTTACGAAGGGATTGGGAAGTTTAACTATGAAGGAAATGGTAGATAAATTACAAAAAAATCATAATTAAAAGCAAAAATTGTGTAATTATGCAGTATGGAGTATCTTACCTTCAGTAAATGTTGCAAGTACTATTAAGAGCTTTGCAAATCCACTTTCCTAATAGGCATTCAAAAAACATATATTAATTAAAATAAATTGGAGTGAAGTTAACACTTATGATTTAATTTTGGTTTGACGTTTTTCTTCAGAACACAGAATTTAATGTATCCTATGGCAGAATAAACAGAATTATCAAAGAAGAGAACAACCATTTGGACATTATACAACAATAACTAACTGTAGTCCTAAGGGTACCATTAGTTAAACCCCTGTTTCATACAGTACAAGTTTGAACTTCTGTGGGGAAGTCCCAAACACATGTATTCACATGGAATAACACAAGGAAACCATATTCTCAGTGCTCTTAGAGCAGTGTTTTTTAAAATGCCTTTGGTCACATTTTACATCAGGGCCATCAGTACATATAATTTTGTGGCATCAGTTGTGCATACCAGTGCACTTCAAGTTCATTGCATTTACAAGTAACATATGAAAACTGCATGCATGGGCAAAAATTTACCAGTATCACATATGAAAAGCCAAGAAAATAAAATCTTGCAAATCACAGCTCCTAGAGAGCTAACAGAAGGAAAAAAATGTCTAATATAACTAGGGACAGGACCAAAGCGAGGAGGTGTCTATGCAGCACATTAGAGGCAAAAGAATTTTGTTTCTGAGGTAAGCAATTAGCAAACCATTTTGTTCTAACACAGAGATAATAATTAATATAATTATGAAGTTTATGCATATTTTACTGTTTGCTTGTGATGAGGAAAAGCTTTTCCTTTTCGAAGGCTCAGATTCTTGTGCTGATTTGTGAACTATGTAAAATACAAGAGAGATTTTTCAGAAGTTGCTTGGATAGTATATTAAGAAGGGAATATTCTGAAGCAAATTGCTCTAGTATGATCTATAAGGCAGGATTGAATGGTAATGTTTTTTCTACCTGATATTTATACCTTGTAAAATCTCTAGGCAGGCTGAGACTAAAGAACCTAAATTCAAGAATTTTAATATTTTCTTTGTGTAGAAACAATTATTCCTTCTTTTAGTATAAGGAATTAAAAATACATATCTAGTTTACTTATCTTGTAGGAATAAAATGTCCTGTTTCTACAGCCATATAAACAATTTGAATGCTTTAGATATCCAATATGTTCCTGCAATAGTATAACAGACATTTCATGCTAGTTGTTAAATGAAAAGCTAGTGTTAAATGAAAAGCTTGAATGAAAAGTCTGTAATCTTCATTTAGTAATACAGCCAATTGGAAAACTTCTTCTGAAGACGAAAATAATATATTCCTGAACAGACAATAGATCTACAGGGATCTGATTTCTTAATTATTCAGTATGTATGTCATAACTTCATTTGAATTTGTAAATCTCAAGTGTAAAACAAGAGACTAAAGCAATATAAATGTCTATAAAAAGTTAATTTCTCTGCAGGTTTCTCATTAAAATTCTGGAATATTACAAAAGAATGAGTCATCTACATTTCAGGCAAGTCATGGTAGTGCATTATGTGACTTGTCTTTAGAAGAATTTATGTGCCTCTTATTAACTGGATCTAAGTAATTATTTTCTCAGAATCTTACTTCAAGCTCCTGAGCTGATTTTTGGACACCCTTCTTGTTCCAAGTTATGAGGCACACATTGAATTTGGGTCATCTGAATACAGCCTATGTCTTGAAACAACAAATGAGATTTAGTGCAAAACTCATTATAGGAGAGTGGCACATTCAAGAATCCATACAAGAATACAAGAATTAATGTTAAACTTTGCACATAAATAATGTTAATGTGATTTTCTAAGTATTAAGTAAGGTTGATTCTCGTATTCTGGGCTAATGACCTAAAGATTTTAAGTCTCTTTGAGGTAAAGACAGCTGCAGAAAGAAAAAATGCTTTCTTGCTCAGCAAATCCAAGAAAGAAAAAAGCACTGGAGACACAGTGGAAAAAAAACCTAGAACTGTAATGGGGAAGAATACCAAGCCTATAAAAGCTAAGGAGAAGTTATCAGTCTCTGGAATACAACTCTAAATACTTACAATCATATGTACTGCAGGGTTTTTAGCTAGTAATGTGGCAATCACCAAGAGGTCATTCCGTAGCTGATAATCACAGTGCCGGAAGCCACATGTGAGGAGGGCTGCAAATACTTCTTTCAAAGCACTTAAAGGAAAATGAAATGTGTTTTACCTTTTCCTTTGGTATTTTTATGCTGGACAGTTCTATGTATATGAATCCTCATTCAGCATCATACTTTTCAAAGCCTTAGGGTCTAGCTGCAAGTAACATACTTAAAACTTTATTATGAAGTGGTTTCTTTTGGGTATCACTAGATATCCAATGTATTCATAGATGCAAGATGCATGTATTAAAAATTGCACCTTCCACTGTTTGTGTTATAATTAATTAATTAATACAAAGACACAGGATTTACTCAAATGTGGAACTGGACGTTGCTAAATGATTACTGAGAAGAAATAGTCTAATCTTAAATAGGTAAAACAGTCTAAGGAAGAACCTGTTATTTACTCCAGCAGAGAATCTAGAAATAAACCTTGTATATCATGGCATAGAAATTCCTTGTAATTTTAGAACATCAGCACTTCAACAGTGAAGTTGAAGTGGCCTGTTGAGCCTAATGGAGCTTGAAAATTCTGCAATTAACTCTTTTACAGTACAAAGCAATAGATAGAGCTGTTCCTCCTGCACTGTGCAGGAAGCACCTTGTTCTTGCCCTGTAACAGCAACAACTGTGTTAATACTGAAAACTTAATGAGGATGTAATCAGAGACCCATTTGCATTTCTCTCAGTTAATTTCCAACAAAATGCTACACAATAGAATGCTTTAGATGTCTCCAAAATTACAAAATTAATTCATAAAATGCTCCTTGTACTTACTGCACACATTCCAAGCTCCTGAGCTGATTAGTAACTTCTTCTTTTGAGGTGCTTTCTAGCAGATTCCATAGGATATCTGAGGAACGGAACACTAGCTGTCCTGAGGGATCAGCACCATTTAGATACAAACAAAGCCTGCTGGCTGCTTGGGTCTTCACCATTTGTTCACAATTTACTCCTGAAATTATGCAAATCAGTGTAATTAATTCTCTATAGGTCAATAATTGTTTCAGGCATGTTCACAGAACAAATGATCTGAGATCAGTGGTAATGAGATTATTGAAAGAACAATTTGTACTAACCAGAGGTGGAAAGATGCTGGAGAGCTTTAAGCACCCACAACTTCTCAGTAAGTTGATTTTCAACTAATGGTAGTGACAAAACAAGAGCTTCTACTAATCCTCCTTCAGCCATTTGGATTTTATAGTTTGCATTTGTTGGCTGGTGACCTGCACATACAATAGCTTTAGTTATAATGCAGTAAATACTCAGAATTCTGATTACTTCATAAAATGTTCATCCTTTCTCAATAAAGGATTGAAAATCAAGTATCATATTTCAAGCAGTTAAGAAAAGCAATCCAATACACAAGAGCTGCTTTTCTTATACCTGTATAGTGCCTAAAATATACCCAACAGACTCACCCTCTAGCATATTCCAATGCTATAGAAACAAATTAATTGCTTCTTAGAATTTAGACAATGAAAGCAAAAGCAGGGCTATAGAAGAGAAAAAACTTTCTTCAGTCATCAGTAAGTTGCTAGTGCACAACCTGCATGTTTTACATATATGCTTAGAGATAAAGTATTTGACTCAAAAAAAATCAGACGGAAACACATTCTTCATTTCAAGATAACATATCTTGTTTTCTAAATTGGAAGAAGAAGAACAAAATTGCTCAATAACATTCACTTATCCTGATGGAATTATTTACAGATACAGAACTAAATGCACATATAGCTGCTTGCAGGATTTGAGTCTTGTTATAAAGTAAAAACAGATTTGGATGCTTTCCTATTTCTAGAATTTTGAAAGGGCTGTAGTAGCAGAAGCTTCCTTAGGCCTCCTAAAATAAATGAAAACTTGTAAAAGGGAACAGGACTAGTGCCACACTGAAGGAACACAGCAGAGGAGCACACTGTCATCAAGCATGCTCCTTCACCTGCACTCTTGAGCCACACTGTGGCAATATTCACTTGAGGCTGGCTGCCTATAAATCCAGTGCTGTCTCAGAGCACATGATGCTGTGCCCCTCTAGGAGGGGATCCATGATTGACTTCACCTAACAACAATCTCTGGCACCATCACAAGAGTCAAAGGAATTATATAATAGTGGATTCTGATCATGCCTGAGTTTGTGCATAGCCTCGTTCTGCAGAGACAAGTCATACGATTTATTCAAACTATACTCAAATGTGTCCACATAATATGACTTCAATCAAATTTAGATGGGTGCAGATCTATCCCTCACAACACAAGTGAAACCAGAGCTGCTTCTCTCCAGACTTCATATAAAAAGCTACATATAAAAACTACATTTTCCTTCTTATAAATCTCATCATAACTGCTTTTTTTCCCCCCTACTTAACCCACATTTCAGAGATCTTGTATCACTTCACATTTCCTGGATACTATTTAATGCTAATTCCTTAAGTGTAACAATTAATTCCTTGTACACTGATGAACTTATTTCAGATTTAGAATATGCACCTCTATAAAAACATGTTAATTGCACATTTGCCAATGTTATATATTTAATGTATGAGATACACTAACCATAGTTATAAAGAAAAATTAATCAACAGCTCATTAAAAGAGGCATTTCAAAGTAGTTGGGATCACAAAAAAATGAAAAATACTGTGCTTTACCTGGAAATAGCTTTCCTGGTAGCTCTGTATTGTAAAAGTTAACAATACTCTTACAGATTTGTATTTTAACTTGAGAGCTTGGCACTCTCATCAAGTAACCTGTCAGAAAGAAATAAATGTAATTAACAGATTATAATTTTTTAGAAAGTATTCTTAACATATTATTCTTCTTTTTACAGCACTTAGTACTACCTTCGGTCATATCCCCTACAAATCTGTCATTTTATGCAGTTTCATTATAAAATATTCAAGAGACAGACTCCCATACTGGAGAGGACAAAGGTGTCTTAGAGGAGTGGCATAACTTTAATCAAAAAGTTACCTTCTCTGCTTTATGGCTACACACTCTTATAAGGCACTGCTATGTTATAACGTTATGATGTTACTCCTGAAGTTGTGGAATTCTGAGGAAAGCTACTAAGCTACTACACTAAGCTGTTGTCATCACTATCATGTCATTAGAAACTCTTCTTCTAAGCAGAGATGATATGAAACAAAGGGAGCATACAAGCAGGAAGGATATATGTTCCTTGCATCCCAGCTTTCAGTGTTTACAGTGATACCTCCATTTCTCATATCAAAATTAAATGAAACAGGCTATATACACATTTACTTCTTACTCTGTACTGATAATGTTTTCTCATGTAGCTTTTGACATTTGCAAACAGGTAATTCTGCTAGCTAATCTGCAGGTTAGCTGCAGAGCAAAGTAAAAATTATTTTTAATACTAAAAAGCACAGAGGATTGAATGAATAATTTAAAGAAATTACCTACATTTACTAAGGAGTAACAATAAATTAAACTCATGCTAATAATACAGTTGATTTTATTGTGGCATAATAATAATTTTATTGTGGTTTATCAGATTACACTCACCCAGTTGTGCAATGGATTGTGCAATTTCAGCCGAATAATTTACTTCATCAGACGATTTCTTTTTTTGAAATGGTAACCTGCAAGATGAAATTTAAAAATATTACAACTATGTTTTAATCAAGTCACCAGGAAATTTCAGTAGCTCTTCTCTTCTTCCTTGATAATTTTTTCAGATTAGGACACCTTTTCCTGGATGAACGCATTCTTTGCAATGCTGATTCTACATTGAGAGCTTCACAATCTGCAATTACACGTTGGCAATTAGTGATAAATGTTCATAGATAATATTTTCATAATTCAAATATGATGCAACTAGACATGCTGAACAAAGAAATGTAATTTAAATGCGTAAGACTAAATCTTACAACCTAGACACTATCTGGCTATTACAGAGCTAGGCTACGTACAGACATGTGCAGAGGTGGAAAAAAGGCATCATATCTGTGGGCAAGACCTCTTGAAATGGATAAAAGTAAACCAAATAAACTGACTCCAAATAGTACAATAAATTTATTTTTAAATACAGGATATTAATAAATACTCAATAACATATTCAAAATACTCAAGATATGACATAAACATACATTTAGCATGTAAGTGCTGAAAACTGTCTAACAGTAAACATTAAAATATTATGCTAAGGTGTCTGCAGTAAATACTGTAGAAGCAGCTTTGTGGTATGTTTACCTCTGTAAACATTGCCAGAGAAAAATAAAGTAGAGAGCAAACAATGGAAGAAATGTTGCAGGAGGCAGGGGTGGGAGAAACAAAACATACTGAAAAAAAAAAGTGGGAAGAAGACAGGTAAACAGAAGCAGTTACAAAAGAATGGAACATTTTACTGGAGAAATTCATGTATCTGAAACTGAATTCTAAAGAAAACAGCCCCTGCCTCTGGTTAAAGGCTTCTCTGTCATATGAAGTAGCAAGGAATTGTGGTGGTATTTCCATAGTACAGAAATTAAAGCAAAACCCAAGGGTGCATTTTTCCAAAATATATTCATTGCAGAAACCACAATTAGTGCTGAACTGCTCTAAAAGAAGAAAAGTTGCACAGCCACATTTTATCGACTTTATACTCATTCTCAGTTTTGTCATGTTTCTAGCAAATACCAAAGAAAATTAAACTCCATGATGTACCTCCTCATTCCCCACTGTGTGGCAGCAAAGAAAAGCAGTACAACTGAGGGTGCTCAGGGAACTAAAAGATTCAGCTGAGAAGTTCTGTGTTTATTAAACCTAACAGCAGAGAGACAGCTATGTAAAAATGTATCTGAATATCTGTTTTACTATGCCACTAGTTTTCTATCTGGTGGGCTTTTTTTTTGGTTTTTTTTTTTTCTTCCATATTCTCCTCAAATGAAATTAAATGCAGGAGTAACTGTAGCTACAAGCATACCATAAATAACTTTACTGAATTATTGAGGAGAAGAAAACTACTGACAACTGTGGACAACACCTAAATCTATTCTACAGATTACTTGAAATGCAGTATGACAACAAAGATGCCCAAAAGTTCATGCAATACATTTTAAAAGTAAATATAAATCCTAAAGCCCGTTGAGGTTCATTCTCTTCTGTAATATGGCTCATCATTATGTAATGCTTACCTTCAAGTATTAGAGTGTCTTTGTGTCACCCTAAGTTTTTAAACTCACTAAAGAGCTTGTCTGAAACAGCAAAACACACCTCAGTACCACTTAGCTGCTGAATCTTTTGAGGCCAGCAATCCCAGATTGGCTTAGACAATAAGAGACCTTGGGGAACCTTGCTTCCAAGCAAGCTGGGGCCAAGTACAACACAGTTTTGTATTATTTAACATGTAAATACACAGATATGGAACTGTTAAAATAGGTTCCTCATTCATGTCACCAGAAACTGGACACAAGTACAAGACAGTTGATGAGAAGGAAGGATGATGCAATGGATACCTTGCAGATACAGGTGCTTTGTAGATAAATGCTGTATGAATCTGTCAGTTGCCTTAGAAAATTTATAAACTTGTTTATAAGCAGCTTTTAAAAGAAGAGCCGAGGTACTTACCCAAACAATTTAATAAGTTCACATAAAGGCTCAATGAAAGCTTCTTGTTCATCCACTTTTTCTGCACACAGGTTAAGAATTTCGGTAATTTGTGCTACATTCTTAATGGGCTTTTAATATGAAATTAAGGAAATCAGATCATCTGTACCATTATGTATCAGAAGAAAAAGCTGAAAACTGTGCTCATCACTCTTCAAAGAAACAAGCAAGAAAAGAGTAAGACCAATGTTCACAAAGTTAGGTATTTAAAAGATGTATGCAAGTCAATACTTAGGCTTTTCGAAGCAGCCTTACTTTACATAGGTACAACTTTTGCAAATCTGATTTAGGTGTTTTCTCAGCTGAACTCACTGAAAGCTCAGCACTAAATTTCTAAAAATGGAGGATGAAAAGTTTTTGCATCACAGTGTCAGATTTACCTCTCTAATTTCTGAGAGAGCCTTGTGATACTTAAATTGTTTCCCAAGTAACTAACTGAAAATCGGAAATCTGGACCCAAATATGTTTTGAGATTAATTTAGGATAGAGGCACAAAATCAAAACTGAACAGAGAATTGAGACTGAGAAGTTACTACCAATCCACTAACTCACAGAAACTGCCTTTAATTACACAACTCAGTCATAATGTGATGCCTTAAATCACTGTGCAATTATCTGAACTGTATGAAATTAATCACATTTTTCCACATGCCAACACCTTCCTTTGTACTACTTATTATTGGAATCTTTCATTTTGTACTATAAATATGAAAAAAAAGTTTCACATAAATTAGTCTGGCTTCATTTTTCCTTAAAATGTCTTCTTACCTTACTGAAATTCATTTTATCTTGCTATTTTATCTGCTGTTTCTTAAGTAGTGACAACTATTATGTTTTTCTATTCTGACTTTAAAGTACACCAGATACATTTTGGATGCTTTCAGCCACTGTACAGGTGAGAAACCTGTATAGAATTTTGGGACAAATGAATCTAATATCCAAGAATCTTGCCAACCTACCAACCTTGGCTGTGTTCACACAAGGAGGCCAGTGATGAGAATTTATATGACCATTCCTGTTCTCCATGTGGAAGCACCATACAGCATCAAATACTCTGCTGAAAAGTCAGACTATTACCATACATAAAACACCATGACTTCAGAATTCTAGAGTGGCAAAAAGGATACAAGTCCATTTTCAAAATTCTTGACTACCTTCTTGAGAGTTTTCAGCTTCTCTTTTTCCAAATCTTTCTTAAGTAAAAGAATGAAAAGCAGGTTTTAAATTGCAGTTTGCCCTAGAACCTTAAATGATTATGTTTATCACCTTTTAAGTTTAATGAAAGTGGAAACCAGATTTAAAAGTTTACAAGACATAATGAAATTCTCAAAGTGCTTTGAAGCAGGATTAACTCCATGATAAAGCCTCCTTTCCAAGTAAGCATGAAGATGTAAGTGCCTTAGAGTGCTCTGCAGCATTAGGAAACAGCTTTCAAATTCAAAGCTGAAAACAACTGAAGTGAGGATATGTCAGGCTGTGTCAGCAGTGTGCAGTGCTCATTTCAGCTCTCCTGAGCACCTGCAACTTGAGGCAGGCCAGGAAGTTGTTTCAAGAGTCTCGAAGCCCAGAATCCTATAGGCATTTTATCATGCATCTTATGCTCTCTACAGAAGCAGTAAATAATATCATCTGGCACCTTTTTCTTCAGTAAGTAAGTTTATTCTATCAGCTCTGCATTAAAAAGGGGGAAGAGGGGAAGATACAGCTACTTCTCTGTGGGCCATTGTTTTAAAATATGTGAGGTTTAATCAGGTCCTTGTTTAAGAGTATAAATTATCCATAATTAGGATCAAAATTATTTAATGATTTAGTGAATTTAATCTGCCAAATCATCTTGTGGAACTAAAAATCATCTGTGCAAGCCCATGAGATGATGCTTCTCCTGTGTGTGCAGGTTAGCTGTATTTATTCTTCAACCTTAACCTTTGTATATTTCTCCTTCATTTCAAATCACCTCTCTAGAGAACTGTTAGCAGTTAACTTGGGCAATTACATAAATTCATGACATACTTTCAGTAAGGTTGTATATATATTTCCCAGCTGTAGGTTTCAGTACTCTAAAACTCTCAAATATGCCTGAAATTCTGCATGTCTGGTTTTTGAATGCTCATAATTTTGTCTCTAAGTTCCTGTGTGATCTTCTTTTTCTCTATGTATATTTTTAATATAAACCCAACCCAAAAGTTGACACAACTTTTTTTCACAACAACGGTCACCTTTATAAGCATTCAAATACCAGAAGAAATACTCATCTTTGTTCTCTGCAGTTCCAGACACCTGTAATGTATATTTTTGTATAATTGATTTTATATATATATATATATATAATTTTTTATTACCTATATAATTTATTGTTACATATATATATATGTGTAACAAATATATGATACAATAAACCACCTGAGCCTATTCAGAGTGGGTGCTAAAGTAACTGTGTGAATCATTTGTCAAAGCCCCATTAGTACCTGTGCAACTGAGATAGAGAGGTACAGTGTTACTTACTGAGCCCGAACCTTTGAGTAGTGTGATGATGTGATTCAAATCCTCTGATCTCAGCTGTGTGTCCTGAAAAAGCAACACTTTTAACCACCCCCTTTTTTTTTTTCCCTTTAAATTTTGCTTTTAAGGTATTTAAAATGTGAAATAGCCACGTTAAACCAACATGAATTTACTCAGGGATGGGTAAAGCCAGACCATGCGTGAAGCACACACCGGGGTTTGTTT